GCTGGGATTAGGAAGATGGTAGCTGTCAACAGAACTCAGGGTATGGCTGGGGAAAAATCTCTCCAAAGAAAAAGGGAATATATTTTTGCAGGGGAAAAGTACATAAATAAAAGGAAGCAAGTCACTTAGATAAGTAGAGCTAAGAATTATTTTCTTTTACTGGGGATTGAACTCAGGGTTTGTATATATAAGGCTAAAGCTTAACCAATGAGATACATCCCTAGCCCTGACTAAATATCTTTCAATTGCTATTATATTGTAGGTGGCTAAATGACCTTTTTAATTCAGGCACAAAAAGATTATCCTTATAAAAACAAGTAATTTATGTTTCATCTCCCTATTTTGATAAAAGAACTAACATTTTATAGTCTTTATTACATAAGCTTTTCTTTTCAGTTACAATAATATAAAGCAAATTTAGATTGATAGAAATGTTTACATAAGTGCTGTCAAACTTCAAATTAAATGTCATTTTAAAAGTCTCATTAAATAAAATATAGTTTACAGTTATCATTAATAACTATTTAAGAAGTAAAATTAGCTCATGTGACAGTATTCAAGCAAGGTTATTTATTAAAGAATACAGAACAAACCACACTACAAACTAGACAAGATTAGATTTCATAGCTCCTATTTTCTAAGGTTTAACCCCCAAATTTTAGGTTATCTGACAGGATGCTGTTTCAGATAGAGAGATACAAACTCATCATGCTGTGTTTTTCTCAACAAACTATATACTTGTCTGGCAGCACAGTACAAATAAAATTAATTTCCCAAGGATTTTCCAAACTTCCAAGGAATATAGAAAGACAAGAAAGAAAAAAAACTATGGGTCATTCACTGATTCTAGTCATGTGAGTTACATTTAATTTGCAAAACTGGATTATTGCTTTGGCCTCTTACGTAGGTTTCTAAATCAGTCTTCTTACATTAACAATGAGTAATTTGTTGTTTCTCAAAGTAATGAAAGACGTCAGTGTATTGCTTATAACTTGCTTATCAAGAAATTGTCCAAGTCACTCAGAAAAGTTAAAAAGTTGACCAACAGTTCATGATATACATAGCCACTGAAATAAAAATAGGACAGTTTTTCCCTTTTATACTTGGATTTGTACCTGGTCTCTATCTCCCTATGCTTGCCATGCATACAACTCTATAGATTAAATTATTCTGTGAACAAAAATATGGGTAAGGATATAGGCCAGTGTTAGGACGAAGAGCACTTCTAAACTGTAATGCCATATAACCCTATTGAACTGGCCCTACATTTTGTGAAAAAAAAAAAAWT